TTACAGCAAAATGAGCACTTACATTTAGAAAAGCATGAGCATGACAGATGTTAATAGTGTCTGCATGACCATGCCTAACATTTAGGAAAATAAGTGTGGGGCAGGGATAGACTTGATGAATCTGCTGATTCATTCTAAAAGGTCATGATATATTTTCATATTTTTGCGCTAATCTGAGTACCTGATTCCTTTCTTTATTTGTGATGACCTTGTCACAATTAATGTAGAAATTAGTTGATGGTTAGCTAAATCAAGTTCTTCCAGAGACCAGACATTCTCCACTGGTACTATGTTCTGAGGAAGATTTCACTTGATTTTACATTTGATCATCACTTTTGGTATTATCATATGTATTATTTATATAAGGAAGCTAAATACTACCAACAATATCAGTGTTATGATATATTGCAGTATCATTATAGTCCAATCAGTTTTATTACAGAACAAGTTGATAAGGAGATGTGACCTTTGCCCATCAATTAGATTATCACTATGTACAGACATCATTTAATTCAGCATGATTTGGTTCTTTCTGTATTCCAAGTCATTTGGGAATGAAGCCAGTCACCCTATCTAGTTTAAAGAAACTGAAAACAGTTTTTATTATGTGCAGAGCCTACCTCTGTTCCATGGTAGGAGGAAGAGTATTGTTCAGAATAGTTCCTGTCCTCTTCCCACTAATTGTGCTATAGGTTATGTGTTATGCTGGCATATTCTTGGGATGAGGACAGCTGTAACACATCAATGAAAATTATAAGACCTCCAATAAACTGCAAGGTCTATGGGACTCCCAAACGTTCCCATTGGGCCTAAGCAAATAGAATTATGGGATGCTGGTCTATGACTACTTTAGCTTCCATCTGCATCAAGACAATCAAGAGGTCCTGTTGGGATGGGGACAAGACCTTCCTAACTGGCAGAATTCTGAATTATTTGTTGAGTCTGAATGACCCATTTCAGGCTGAATCCCATTCTATGACTTCCCTCTGGAACCAGTCCACTCTTACCTTGACTAATTCCAATTAACATCTTTTTTCCCTCTGAATCTCACTTTTCATTAAAACTGCATTCAGTTTGTCCCATGGTGCCTACATAGGGATCTGTTTTCCCTAAAGCCCCAACTTTTCTCTTAAGGGACAATCATTCTTATTGTTAGTGTATACTAATGCCCTGCGTACAATTAGGATATAGGTTAGTTACCCACAATACTGAGTTCTCTAGATTAGAGTTTGGTAAGTGGTATCCCACCACGACATAATTTAGTCTGAGTATGCCATGAAAACTCCCATGGCTTCATTCTGTTCAAGTGAGATCATTCTCAGGGAATTCATAGCCAGAAAGTGAAGCCTATCCTTTATTCCCATCAGAAGTCACTGCCCTCTATTCTCTTTCTATTGTTCCACTCACAAATACTAGGAAAACACGTATCTGTACACAGAATTCAATGTTGTGCTGAAAATTCAGCCAGCATAATTTTGTCTGCTATAACCAAGGATCTTTCTGAGAATTTCATCATTGTTCAGAACTATACAGTGACCAGTCAGCTGAGAATTATACATTGCTTGGAATGGACCAATTGTAGCATAGTTCCTAGAAATTTCTTCAGAAATGACGTTCTTCATAGTAGATATAACCTGAAAAACAAGAATCAAAAATTACCGGTACATTACTTCAGTGGCCTTCAGTTATCAACAGCCAGTCTGGCTTATCATCATAGAGTTTGATCAAAATATTTCTCAATATAAAGTCACCAAGGAATGCAGGCTTCCAATTTGACTTATCAGGCTCCAAAAGCAGGGATGGATTTGGCAAATGCCTGGCTTAACCCTTTAGTGCATCTGGTATAGTTGTGCTAAGAGACAACACTATTTTCTACTTGTGAAGCTCTCTTGTGGCAGCAATGTATTATATTTCCATCATTTTGTATGTATTCACTTATATTTTTATGCATTATTTCTTCATTTGTTAACTATTTGCTATTATTTCTCCTTTGTTCTTTTTATCAGTGATTTAAACTCAATTTCCCACTTTCGGGAGGGATGTTGAGTTCAGCCACTGTGCTGTAACAGTGCTCACAACGATACTAGTTTAGTGTCTTTCCTTCAGTTCATTCCCTTTCATAGAGGATAGTTTTAGATAGGTCCAGTAGGATATCTCAAGCATAGGCAATGTAGTTATATCCACTCCGTTGCCTATGCTTGTTGTCCATGTCAACTCAATTTTGCCCCCAAACATATCCACCTAGCAGCCTTTGGGAAGTACTGACATGAATATTAAAAGCATAGTTAGACCTTCTTGAGTAGGGAACATCTCTATTTCTGGCAATCACAGTTGCAGCCTGGTGGGAGGGCGACTGCATATGATAGGAAAAAATGTTGAGATAATGTAGGGAAGACTTATACAGTGATACCAGGATAGCTTCTTACCTGTTTCCCAAAGCTTTCAGAAATGTGGAGGTATCTACTGAGTTGATAGTCATAGCCTATAACTCCTTCATCTTTCTTACTAACCAGTTTTTCATTTATTTCTTCTCAAAATATTGTGTACTTGAGGGAATGTAGGTTTTTAAAATACTATAGCTGAGACCTAAACATTCTTTTGCAGCTATTTTTGGTACAATTTTGTAACCATTCATGGCTGTTGTGACCCTAATCATTTTTCACACCATTCTCCATGTAAAGTTTTCAGAAAAATTTATTATGATGATCTTCAGCTAGCTTCAAAATTCCTGGGCTTGGTTGTATTGTGACTGTGCTACCTATAGGGTCCATCAACTCCACATTAGACCATCAACACAGCTGGCAGGAAGTGGGTGGATGATGCACCTCCCTCTCTCAGTGGTTATACTGAAAAGCTCCATCAATATTTTAAAATTCAATAATGACAGTTCAATGCCAGAAAAGATATTCAAATTTTTCTCAAAAGAACGAGGTATATTTTACAGGTTTATTAGATGTCAAATAGTTTACTAGTGGGTATATTAAAACTCTTGATAAAAAATATAATATGGATTTATTTTGAATTATCATGCATTCAGAGATCAGGGATTCATTACTTCAGAAATTTGAGGTTTGCACTGGAAACCTTTGTTTCAAAATTGCTTTATTATATTTCCTTTTTTCTGGTGTTGGGAGTAGAACTCAGGGCCTTATGCTTGCTAAGCATATGCTCTTCCACCAAGTTATTATGCTTCTTTATAATGTATGCTCTGCGCAAGACAGATGGAAACCAGAAATGTCCAGCTCTTCTTAGGAGAAGATGAAAAAAGGATATTTCAAATCATTTGTGGCAGACCAATTTATCATGGAATGTTTCGCTACAGGGATGATCAATACTGAGAAGAAATTTGTGTTCAGTGTCATAAATCTAGAAATTGACATGTTGGTTATAAAATTGACCAAGGAGTATCAAGAAGAAAGGAGAAAACCATAACAAATACTTTCATACAACACTTTTATATTTTAGGAATTTAAAAAAAAGCCAAGTACATGTGCCATCATTCCTGGATGATCTCTTTGTTTTAATTACAAAGGACTTCAATTTCTGGGGTTTTCCTTACTGACAAGTTTTTTCTCTGATATTCTCTTCCATGTAAAATTTCTATCAGCAATTCGATGAGAGTTGAGAATTTGATTTCCTGATAATTAAGGCTAAATGAGACTGACCCTCAGAATTATAATTAAAACTAAGACTTTTTCAATTTAAAGATAAAAGATGTTTCTAATGAAATGATTGCAAAATGTAAAATAAAATAAATACAAATCTAACTCTTGGTAAATCCACTGTCAAACAGTTAGCCTGTACAAGACTACTCTGTGCTGCTTTTTATTGGATTACTGTGCTTCAGTATTCCAATAACCTTTTATTCAAAGTTCTCAGGTTCAGTGTGTGAGGGACAGTACGAGAAGCCTGCTCTGAGGCTAAATATGATAGAGAAACCAGGGTCATTTATAGTCCATTGGCTACTAAGTGAAGCTACGCATTGGAGGTTGTCAAAGACGAAAAGCCTCACTCAGGAATGGCTCCACCGGTCTTATTACATCTAATTCTCTGATTCCCGAGACCTCAACCCCCAGCAGGGACCTCTGACCTTGAATCTGGTGGAACTAGACTAGCTCAAGATCTAGAACAAGTGTTCACAAATGGCTGTCTTGGGCCCTGTTTAACAACATATTTTTGTTTCCAACAACCTATTTTTATAAATAAAGTTTTATTAGGACATAGCCACACCCATTCATTTACACATTGTTTATTGCTCTTTGTGCCAGAGTTGAATAGTTATGACAAAAAAGAGGGCTCCAGAAGTTATATTTACTTGCATCCTTTTACAGGAAGAATCACAAACTATTGATTTAGTGAATGCATATCATGCTCTTATTTTTTCAATCTGAAATTTTTAGTATGAATAAAAGCTTTGCTAGTATTGCCTATTTACCAGTAATTGGAATTGCAAGTCCAAAAATTCTATGAATTAGGGACTAAAAGTTTTGGAAATTTTTGTAGGTGTGAAATAGTATCTCATGATAGCTTTAATTTTCTTGCTGACTAATAGTAGCAAGAAGACTCTTATAAGTTTATTAGCCATTTGTATTTTTTTCTAGAAGTATATGCTTTGCTAATTTTATGAAATTTTCTTGTTGATTTTTTATCATTTATTTTAAGGAGTTTCTTCTGTGTTATATTTATGGCTCCCTTTTGTTACATATGTAGTTTGAGTATTATCATCTGCTCTGTGGATTCCATTTGATGTTTCTTAATTAGGACTTTGATAAGTAGAATATTAATTTGAGGTCAATATATACCAAGTAAAGCATTTTATGTCTACTGTTACTGTGAAGGCTTTCTCCTATTTTTTTCCCATCTATTTTTTCCTTCAGTTTATATGTATTGGTCTATAATATTCCATTTTAAGGAAGTATTTATTCTAGAAGGAGCAAAAATAGACAACTATCATATTTCATGAAAACCAAAATCCCCTCTCCATGTTGCTTCCATCTCTTTCACATTGGCTTCCATAGAGCCCTCCTCAGGGCACCCTTGACCTCTACGTTCCTCAGGCTATAGATCAAAGAGTTCAGCATGGGGTTGAAAAGGCTGTAAAACAGGGAAAGGATCTTCTGCTGCTCTTCAGGGTGGCGGGATTTGGGGGCCATGTACATGACGATGGCACTGCCAAAGAAGAGCCCAACCACACAGAGGTGGGAGGAACAGGTGGAGAAGGCCTTTCTGCGGCCCTCTCCTGACTGGATCCTCAAGATAGCCACCAGGATGCGCATGTAGGAGACGAGGACCAAGCAAAGGGGCCCCACTAAGATGAACACACAGGCTGCAAATATGACAATTTGGTTAAGCCTGGTGTTAGCACAGGCCAGCTTCAGGACAGACAGAATTTCACAGAAGAAATGGTTGATTTCATGAGGCCCACAGAAAGGCAGTCTTAGGATGAGAACTAAATGGACCAGAGCTAAGAGGAAGCTAAATGTCCAGGAAGTGACAGCCAGGACAGTACACACTTTCCAAGTCATGATGACAGTGTAGTATAAGGGATGGCAAATGGCCACGTACCGATCATAGGACATTACCACCAATATCAGGCATTCTATGTGAGCAAAAGCCAAATATAAGAATGTCTGCATTATACATGGAACAAAGGAGATGGTTCTTCTTTTGTTCACAAGATTTTCCAGCATCTTGGGGACATTGTTGGAAGCATAGGACATGTCAACAATGGCAAGGTGTGAGAGGAAGAAGTACATGGGTGTGTGCAGTCTGGGGTCCAGGCAGATGAGTCCAAGTATGACTCCATTCCCCAGCAGGGTGAAAGTGTAAAAGAGAGAGAAAAGTCCAAAGAGGAAACATTCCAGTGTCGGTTCAACTTGGAATCCCAAGAGTGTTACCTCTGCGATCCATGTCTGGTTGCCTCCCATTCTGTTGTGCCAAAGGAATGCCTTATCTAGGACAGAAAGTCAGAGCTGTGGAGCAGTTAGAGAAGCAAAACGTTAGTGAGTATTGCAGAGGAAACATTTTGAAATTTATCACTTAGGATGGATTTCTAGGATTTTTTTCAGAAAAGTTTGCAAAAATTATCTCACTGTGGTCATAAAAATGAGAAGAAATCTCATTACATCATTGGCATAAGAAAAAGATAAATGGGTACACACACATATACATATATAATAAAATATAAGTTAACATGATAGTATATAGTATAATTATCCTACTTTTATGGTGTATCTTAATTGGACACAAGTTTCATTATGACATTTCCATAATACGTGCAATATGCTTTGACAATATTCATACCTGTTACTCTTTCTTGTTGCCCCTCCCCCCTCCCTCTTCATTTTTCTCTTCTACATCCATAAGGAGTCCCTCCGTCTCCTTTTTACTTTCATGATCTGTTTTTTCCATTCTAGCCTCCAAAAATGAAAGAAAACATGGAATACTTGTCTTTGTGGGAAAAAGTTCCATCTATTTTCTTGTAAATGACATAATTTCATTCCTACTTATGACCGAGTAAAACTCCACTGTGTATAGATACCACATTTTTTTATCCATTCATCTGTTATGGTCACCTGACCTGACTCCATAATTTGGCTATTGTGAATAGTGCCACAATACACATAGGTGTGCCACTATCTTACTGTATGCTGACTTTAATTCTTTGGAATTTATATGCAGAAGTGGCTCATATAGAAGCTCCAATTTATTTTTGGTAGTATTGCAGTTGGAATCAGGGCCTCACTCTTGTTAGGCAGATGCTCTAACACTTTTGGCACTCTGCCAGCCCTTATTTTAGTTTCTTGAAAACCTCCATTCTGATTTCCATTGTATCTGGATGAATTTATATTCCCTCCACCAGTGAATAAGGGTTCCTTTTCTCCAGCATCCTTGTGAGCATTACTATTACTATTTTTTGGTTTTGGTTTTCTTGATGATCGCTATTCCCATTGGGAAAAAGTGGAATCTCAGTAGAATTTTGATCTGTGTTTCCCTGATGGTTAAGGATGTTGAACATTTTTCATGTATTGATTAGCCATTTGCACTTCTTCATTTGAGAAGTGTCTGTTCAGTTCCATTGCCAGTTTATTGATTAGTTTATTTGCCCTTTCTTGTTTAAGATTTTGAGTTCTTTATATATTGCTTATATATATATTCTTTATTTATATAAGAATATATTCCATATATACACACACATACATGTATTCTTTATACATTCTAGACACTGAATATTCTATATGGTGTTGGTTGAATATCTGGCGAAGATTTCCTCCCAGCTTGATACCATATATAAATAGATACATGTATACCTGTGTATTTTTTGTGAAATTCATGTATTCTGGTTTCCCTTTCAGGGTGGGAGTCTTGGTTATTAACATAATTTGAAGAGAGTTGATCCTGACAAAATGTAGCTATAAGAGGTGGTTGCACTTTCTGGGCTTGCTTGCCTTCTGGCTAGGGAATGAAATGATAAAGTCCCTCTGCTCTTTCTATGCTTGGCCACTAAACCACTTACCTGCTCACATGCTTTCAGAAAATTCCTCAATGTTACAGTTTCCTTAAAATATCTTAAGACCATCCTTTTCAGCAGCCGCCTGGATGATCCTTTTTCCCTTCATCAATATTTGTAGTATTATTTTGAGTTTTAGTTGCTTCTATATCAGACCTAGTACTGAAATGAAAGAATTCTTTGGATATGTACAACAGACACAGATATATATCTCAAATACAGCCATACACCACACAATGATGTTTCAGTCAATGACAAACTGCATATATGATGGTGGCCCCATGAGATTGCATCTTCTAGTGAAATTGTACCCATCTTAGTCTATGAAGTACACTGTGACAGTCATACAATGCTAAAAAGGTGTAGCTTGGACCACATCCTTGTTAAGTGACATATGACTATATAGTTCAACATGATGGCATTTCTGAGCCTTCTTTAATAAAACCCTCAAAAGGGGAAACCAATTTACATTAACAGTGGTTATATTTTTGAATGGTAACTGTATTTTATTTGCATTTTTTGGCTCTTTTCCCTAATATAACTTAATGTACATAGTGACAGAACTTATCTCATTTTCCACTGTGGAAGAAACTTTTGTCATCTGTTTCCATCAAATCCTCTTACAAGCCTCTTCCTCATTGCATTAACAGGCCAGCATCCTGTTGCTGTACAAATGGATGCTGAGCCAGTCACAGGAATGGTAATAGTTGGAATCAGGGTTTAATTCTAGAGAGTGCTTCCCTAGAGGGCCAGGGTCTGTCCAACCAACAGAAGGCAACAAGGGTCATGAAAGGAATGGATAGCAGTACTACTTAGGGAAACTGTGTGACATTAGTTGTCTCTTTATAGTCTCTTCACTCGTTTTCTAGAAACAGTTTAAATTCTATATTAATTCTTAAATCCTCTAATGTGTCAAGCTTAAAAGAATATTTTTAAAACTTCAAAAGTTTTTCTTTAGAACCTAAAATCTAGATATTAAAATTGGCATTATATTACAAAGTATTTTTAAAGTTATCTTTTCACTTAGTAAAATGCACCTTTTTCTTATGTGAAACTGTATTTCATATTTGTTATTTAAAAGAAAGTACAATATTCTATATTATCACAGTTTATTTAATTTTTACTGTCTGAATTTTTTGTTTGTGTCTTTTATTTTTTAGTAGCTTTGAAATAGATAGTGTTTACAACTTAAGTGTTCCCTATATTTAAGATTATTTCCTTAGAGTATGTTCTCAAAGTGAAATTACAGGTGGTAAGAAATGTCGACATTTCAAAAAGTTTCA